ATCTGAGGACCAAGCCTTTAACACAGGGGCTTTCTGGAGACATTCAAGATCCAAACTGTGTCAAAGCCTCTATAAACATCTGTGTGCCTTGAAGATACCACAAGACAGTAAAATTATTCTTTTTTTTCTTTAAACAGTCATATTTTTTAATCAAATTAGGAAAAAAAAGATAAATTCTTCCATCTTTATCCAGGTCGTTACCAGCTATTCTTTACCTCTGACTATCCAGGTTTCCTTCTATCATCATTTCTCCTCAACCCGAAGAATTTCCTTAAGCATTTCTCATAGTGAAGTCAGCTGACAACAGATTATTTCATTTTTCCTTTACATGAACGCATGTTTATTTTATCTTCATAAAGATTTTTCTGTTTGAGGTTTTTGTTTGTTTGTTTTGTTTGTCTCTTCTGACTTCCTGAGCATCTGATGAGAAAACCTGTGATTTATTCAAAGCAACATTTCCTTTTGTGTGAAGTGTTGGTTTCAAGATTCTTCCATTATCTTTGGTTTACTACCATTGGTTTATTATATATCTAAGTGGTTTTCTGTGAATATGCCTAGTTTAAAGTTTATCATATTTTTTTAATCTGCAAATTTATTTCTTTCACCAAATATGGGGAGTTTGGGGCTTTTATTTCTTCTCCGCTCTTCTTCTAGGACTTTAATTACCCAACATTGAACCTTTTTATATTATTACACAGGTCCTTGAAAGTCTGTCCATGTCTCTCATCTTTTTCCCCCTTTCCTCTTCAATTTGACAAAACCTTGCCTATATTCACCCAGTCCTTTGATATTCACCAATCTATTAAGTCATTTCAGTATATATTTTTATTTTAGATATTCTACTTATTAATTAAATTAATAAAGATATTAATCCTTAACATTTCCATTTTCTTTTTTATGTGTTCTATTTTGCTGCTAAGATTTCTCTTTTTATTCATTTCAAGAATATTTTCTGTTATTTCATTGACCATAGTTGAAAATAACCACGTGGAAGTCCTTTCTAATAACTCCAACAGCTAAGTCATATAGCAAGATTGAAATCTGATCCGGAGTTGTCATTTTTGGTTTTTGGTGGTTGTTATTGTTTTGCTTTTTTCATTCAGAATGGGCCACAATGGCCTGGTTCTTTGTGTACAGAATAATTTTGGATTTTATCCTGGACATCGTGGTGAGTCTTATATCATCTGGAATTTTATTACAATCCTCTGTAGAAGACTGATTTTTTTTTTTTTTCGTTTGTTTGTTTCAACAGACAATTAGTTCAGGTAGATTCTATGTGTACAGAGGCTCAAATATCAACTCTAAGTTTCATCCTTTGCTGGGCTCCTATGAGCCTGTTCCATGAAATCTTTATTAAGAAATCAATCTGAAACTTGTGGGTGTCCAAAACAGTCCGAGGACCCCTTTGTCTCTCCAGCTCTTTCCCTTGCTTGATTTCCCCGTCACTCTCTGGCATAGGTGTCTGGCCATTTTTCTCTGATTTCTTTCTTGACCAGAAAGATTTGCAGTTTTGTTTTGTGTTTGAAGGTTTAGTTGCCTGTGACCTGCTGCATCATGACGGCAGATCACCCTCAGGGCAAAGTTCCCACAAAATAAGAAACTCAGGCCTCCACTCAAGCCAATTCTCCAAGTCTTGGTTCCTCTCTGTAGTTGGCCTGATTTTGTTTATTATTTGGAATCCTTAGGTAGTATTCTTTGTAGTTTGTTCATAATCTACAATTTTTATTTGTGGGAGGGTTGGTCCAATGGGAAACTTAAACAATAAACCTATCATATCAGTTTCGTTGGCTCAGAAGTTTAAATAATTCTGTTTTCTCTGTGATCCTACCCTAACATGGAGCCTTACGGGGCTTACTTACTTAACAAAGCAGAGTCTAGCAACTGTATTTAATTCAAAGCAATTCAGAGAAGAGTGG